TAAATTAGCGAATCAATCAAATTTTTTCTTTTATAATAATTTCACAGTTCCACTTGACAGATGCATGAATTAAGCGCTTAGGCTCGTGGCAATGTCGATTTTACATATTATTGTGGGAAGAATAAAAGGCGTGCATTCAAGTAGATTCAAGCGGAGCTCCCTTTACCGTCAGCAGTCTATATTTCGTAAATGATTTGGTGCAAATTGGGAAACGGCGACGACTCAACGCTTAAGAATTTTAATAACTTAACGCATAATTACGTTATGCGGGTATTTGAAGCTCTAGGACATTAAACACGTGTTCTTTTGCGCATATGTTAAATGGCACTCGTGTGTTGCAGCATTAAAGTACAAATTGTTCTTTAGGTATTTCATAAAACGCCATTTAAATACAATACTTAACCTTGGAGTTTATGGTTATCGGAATGTAAAGTTATCTTGATTCCGCACTGATAAGTCAATATTTGGGCCTTCGCTCGTATACATTCCATAGGTCGTGTCCCATTGGTAGTTTTAGTAGGCCTGTGCTAGACGGCCACGCAACCCGACTCATTTGATTGAAGTGATGACGTATTACGTATTTTAGTATTTAGTTTTTAGTATGAAACGAAACTTACAAATACTAATTTACCAATTCTCCAAATCGCAGTCATATTGGTTTTGACCCTGATACGGAAAATACTGCGCAGATCGCTTTGCTCTTTTGCTACAGGCTGCTCGTGATAAAGTGAGCACTTTTAAGACACTAGTTACTTTTTCCCTTTCAGCTATTCTTATATTTTGAACACCTTTTAAAATAAATATTGCAATGTAAGTTTTTAAACAGTATGTATAGTCCACCGCACTCGGAAGTCAACGTCTAAGGTTAAAATAAAATGTATTTATTGGCTATTGCTCCAAATTAGAGGGCTTCGAAAAGAGTTCCCTTTACCGTGAATAGCCTATAGCAGTCGGATGTGACCTCGAGGCGCTTGAAATGCTTTGCAGAGTGTGAAATACTCGTTTTCCCACGAAACTATTAGATGTGCGTCCAATGTGTTGATCTAAGACGAGGGCTGTTGAGTGCTTTCAGGACGTCACGCACATTAGAAACGCTATTTCAAAGCACTTCAACATAGCTAAAAACTACTTTTTCAAAGTGCTGTATCCTGAAATATACGCTTCAGAAACACGCAAAACTATCCTAGGGTTCCTACCGTAGACTAAAGATGAGGTAGACCGCTTATTCGTCTTCTGCGTATGTACCCAACATTGACCTACCCCAAAGGAACACAACTGTCAAAGTCACATGGTCAATAGTGATGAACGTGTTTGTTTATAACTTAGTTTTTAGATGATAAGCACTGTTATTTTAATAAAATACTTTTACCACTTTGAACTTAATCAGAAAGTATTTCAAATTGATTAGACGAAGTAATAAAACATCTCAAAAGCTCTTGTTTAATAAACAGTGTTCTAACCTCAAATCGAAATCCACGCCGTTTTTGCTAGACGTGTAGGCAGAAATACCGTTCAATGTTGGGACACGGAGAATGGTTATGCGCAGCCAGAGAGATCAGTCTACCTCATCTTTAAGTCTATGGTTCCTACAGACTTTTAACGAATAAAATAATAGGGTCAGCGCTGAAAGTGCCATAGGTGCAACCTCAGTGCGACAAGAACACTGCGCGCCAAATAAAGAGCCTTGCGCTTAGCGGTGATGGCGTACTTGATTCGCGTGGCAGTATCACCCTTGTGGCTTCCTCGCTTTTCGGGTTGAAACGCCACCCCTAAATGTTGATCTACATGTCATGCACTCTCATGCAGTGTGAATAGATAACAGGTTGTCTTGCGGTTGCGAGGCGGAGCTATTGAGCTGGTCAAGGCGAGCCGGAACTGGGCGGCAGTGCCGCCTCGCTCACGTGCCCCGGCAATGCCAAGGCCTCGCCCACCGCCTCGCTCGCTCGCAGCAGAGGGTTCAAGGTTCGCTGTCTGTCCGGACCCTGCACACGCGCGCCCGGGGAAAAGCGATCGCCCGCTCCATCCGCACCGTTTCCTGTTTCCCGCGCCGCGGGATCGTGGTCCAGAACCACCTTGCTCCCACCACTCAGGTCCACGTGCTCCCCTCCTTTCACTTCGCGCTCGCCAAGGAAACACACTCCCGTCCGCTCTGGGGGCTGACGTCACCGCTATCGGGATCACACTGCACTGCACGACCGCATGGGAAAAGTGAAACCTGCGTTATATCGCCCCTTTCTTTCGGAGACATTTCACCTCACTCTATCTACTTTTAGCGGTGTCCACATCGATTAAGGAGAAGGTATAGAAACCATGGTAGCGTCACCAGTTTTTTAAAGTCAAAAAACGTATTCAGCTTTCATTACTGAAATTCCTTCTTATTCTCAGATTACTGAACAACTCTGAATTTGATGGATTATCTTTATTGGTTTACAGTGTAGAATAAATGTGAATAACTATGGATTATCTTCTGAGAATGGCTACATAAACGATAGCATAAAAATAAATCAAATGTTAATCGCATCTGAATTATAATTAAACAGTGCTCTATGCCTAGTCACATTTTCGGAAATTAATCTCAACTCTAAGTAGGGACAAAAATAATTATATTAGTTCAATTTGGCGTCCGAGCCACTCTCTCAAGTTTTCCGCCTTTCTGCAGATTCTTCACGCATTCGAGGCCTCGGAACTCGCGAGCTGTAAGGCCGACTCTTGCTAGCTCACCACTTGCCTCGTCGCCTCTACGCGCAAGGCTCTCAACCGTCTTGCAGTCTTTCCGCCGGCGGCTCGCCTGAACGTGACCTCGAGCGGTGATCCAGTATTTTTATGGCTTGCTTATACATGTATGATGCGTGTCCAAAGACAACTGTAAATATTCCGTATGGAAAATTTAATAGCCATTCCAACACCCATAAGATAAAATAAAATTGTCTTTGTAGTTCAAATGAGACCTTGCAACTTGTCTGTGTGCATTAAACGTTTTAAAATCCTTTTTCTATTTTTCCGCTACTGCAAAATGTTTAACCGAGTCACGTGTTTAATACCGTACCTTTGGAAACTACTGTTTGAGGACGAGTTCGGTCGAATTCTCCAGTTTAACCGGCTTGATCTGGTCGATATGCACCACGTGATCAGTCGATGAATTTTCGAACACAATCCTGCGTACACACGTGTAAATCAACAGTTGAAGTCAAATAAAGGCAACTGTACGAATTTAAGTGCAACGGAAAAAATCAGTGCACATTGAACTGTGCATAAACACTGCAGGAAAAAATGTGAGACTTGATTCGTATGTTAAAGTGAAATAACGTGTTAATTAGCAATTACGTTAACACAGTGTTTAATCTGGTTTTCCTGTCTAATAAAGTTATTTGGCATGTATTAATTTATTCCATTGCATTCGAAAAAATATATAGGTGTATAGTATTATGTATATTATAAACATAACATATACGGTATATAAACAACCTGAAGTTCGGGAATTCTCTCGATTTGTTTTCACCGATGCACATCAGAAACATTCTCTAGTTGTTTATTCATAGGTGAATTTCCGAAAACGCGGTATAGTAAGTTAGTTATTTTTGGGCGCAGCACATAAAGTGTACAATGATGCATACTGTACACAGTAGAAAACAACGTCGAAAAAAGTTAGTGCCTCACGTGATGGGAGATATCATACTCTGTTGATACCACATTCTACCGTTTCATAAAAAAGACCTGCTGCCAATAACATAAAGCAAAACACATTTTATCGGATCGGGCTAATGGCAGAGCGTTATGATTATACTTATATTTTCGAACAAATAGTGTGTACGTTCAACAGGTTAGCAGATTTCGAGGGGCGTTACTATTAAGTAACTAGACTAATGAACCCTTTCAGTCACGGGCATAGAAATAATTTAAGGCGTTGCTGCGAACAGTATTTCTGCTCGGAACTGTGCAAAAATAAGTGTAACGCTCGGTCATATGTCGGGATCAATAAAAATGTGTGTTTTGTCTGATTTTAATAGCAGCATCTGTTATGAGGCTGAGAAAAATGTTCTCATCAACGAATGACGTATTGCATCAAATGAGGAACTTGCTTTGTTGGATGATGTTTTTTGTGTACTACTGTTTAGATATCTAAATCGCCTTCCTGTGGAAAGTTTCATTTTTAGAACACCAAGATCTAAAGAGTGAAACGAAACTGGAAAATAACACCTTTAACGTAAATTTAAGACAACTTTCATTTACAAAAAAAAAATCCTATTTACCGTCACATGTATGGCGTATTTTTTCTTGAATAGCAAAGATTGTCTTGCTTGCGTAAACATGTCAGCTTGTGGATGTTCTGATTTGCAGAGTAATTGTTAGGAACATGAAAATTTTTATGGGCAACTACTTGTAAGATTTTTTTTTAGATAAAATGCGAAGTTGAAAACCACTGTACTGAAGTAAACTTTGTTTATTATTATTAATATTATTATTATTAAAAACAAACTGAAGTTTGAATTTGAAATAAACTTATTTTTGTTAGTTCAAAGAAAAATGGCATATATCAGGATGCTCTTTTATTTGTACGAATATCATAAACAATGGCCACTTACGGGTTTTGCACCTACTTTCAGTACCTACATACTTATTTGGCACAAGCAACCATTGCTGTATAATTATTTTAACCAAATTAAGTGCAATATCGTCTTCGGCTTTTGTGTGAATTAGTTTTTACCAAACTGAGTATAATGTCTCCTCCTGTTTTGGTGAAAGTCGTTGCCAATGGCTTCAGTACAATTAGTGTTCAGGGATCTATTCTCGCTATAATGAATTGCTTAATATCTCGGTAGATAATTAACACAAGAAACCATTCAGAAAGTCTGCACAAATCTAATCTCCTCCCTTTTAAGAACAAAAAAATATTCAGTTCTGGACAAAGAATAGTACTAGTTTCGCTCAGTCGTGTGTGTAGCAGTATAGCCTAATTGAATACAAATATGACTTTCCAAACTACTCGCTAAATATGTAAGGCAGACGTGGCTGAGTGGTTAAGGCGTCTGACTAGAATTCACATACCTGCTAGGAGCCTAAGTTGAAATCCTGCCGACTGCGTAGAGTTATTTTGGGTTGGTAACTTTTTGTTGTCAATAACAAACTGTCATTCGAACTTTAAAAAAAAGTGTACTTTTGGTTATAAGTTAATTTGCTTTTTTGATATTGTCAGAAATACTTCAATTGTTTGTAGGCGCTTAACTTGCATCCGTAAAACTTAAAAGATATACGACTGAGCCATTAATAAATATAGACCGATCCTTTATCTAGTAGAAGCTATTTACAAATCTAAAGTCTAACTATTTGCGAACAGATGTACCACCAGGAAGGGAGGAACAGGGGAATGATATTCTCACACCGACAATTAATTCTATTCAGCGTAACTGGGTGCATATTATCTACATCTCACACAGTTGGTGATAAGCAGTACTGGCTTATGTCTGATGCGTAAGTTTGGTTTTTCGTGCCCACCGCCTCAAAAAACACAAACGAACAACTTTTTATAAAGTAAACCGTTCGAATTAATTTTGTTTCTGACTTGAATTCAACTAAATACTGTTCACGGTAAACTGAGTACTTTTGAAAGCCCTGCTTAAGATCTACTTGTATGCACAATAAGTATTCTTCCACCGTATGTAAAATTAGCATTGCCATGGGTCTCGTCACTTTATTCATGCGTCGGTCAAGTGAAGTTATGACATTATAAAGAAAAATTATAGTTACTACAAATTTCCTTATTCTTGCACTTTACGTGCATTAAAAACAGAAAGCAAAATATATAATTTCATGCAATAAAATATGTTTACCTAACTCTTTTAATTCAACGCTAGAGAATACAACTACTTTCTTCGTGTCATTACCAACTAAACAATGCCAGTGCCAGTCAATATACCCGTTAAAATATACACAAGCGGAGAGCAGTGACATTTTCCAAAGGTTGATTTCAAAAGTGCTCACTTAGCCATGAACAGCCTATAGTTACAGTGCATCAATAATATAGTTAGGGACATATATGAGTAAGAAAAAGGGGGCGGGGTAGGGTAGTTTGGAGTTCAGAGATTCCCAGCTGCGAATTGTGAAAGGTAGGGCCTACATTTAAAAAATAAGAAATATACTTTTAGCTGTCAGTAAAATGAGAAATAAAGTAAATAAAATTTGTATAATGAAATAGTAAAAATAAGTAGTAAATTAAAAAATACAGGTGGCCGTACAGATAACTTCCTATCGCTCTTCAGCTAAAGATGGTTTATAGACGCTGTTTTATCAGTGAACAAACCACACTCCCGTCCACAAACAAATTTCTGTCTACGCCACTGAGAATATTATTTGCTGTAAAACTACCAAATACTACGCATGAGCACCATTAGACCCCTCTTTCTTCTCCAACTAACAGACAATCATGCCAGTTCGTCTATATGTAAACAAAAAAGTTATAGTCCATTCACGGTTGAAGCCCTGTTAAAGTTCTACTTCTAGGGTATTCCTCCGCTCCATGCAAACAAAGCATGACCGAGTCTATAGAATTACACCATTCGGGCAACGCACCACATTCGTACGCACTCATTAGTGTAATAGTATTTATATAAGAACTATTTCTTACTAGGCATTAACAAAAACCCTATTTTATCACTGTTTTAATTCGTATCATTTATAAATTAAATATTAAAATTTGTAAACAGAATATAAATAAAAAACTTAATTAAAAACAAGGTACTTTTATGTTAAAACAATTATAAAACGCTTCTGATACAGGGTATACTTACAAAACAACTAAACACGACATACATGGTGTGATTTTTCAAAGGTATAAGTAAATGCTTTTAAATTGCTCAGAATTGTGGTAGTAAAATCACGAACGCTTACGTTGATTAAGGTTACACAAAGGAACGGCTGATATTGATGAAGGGCTAACGTCGATAAACGCTATAGGTTGTTCACGGTAAAGTGAGGACTTTTGAGGCCCTAGTTACTTTTTATTTCAGCCATTTTTTTTTATCCTTTAACCACTTTTTCGAATAAATATTGTCATGTTAGTAATAAGCACAGTGTGTACATTCCACCGCACTCGAAAATTAATGTCTACACACTGTAAAAAAATTTCCTTCATTTTACGAAAAAGTGCTGGTAAAAATTTATCCAGAGGGGCCCGTAAACTCTACCCAAAATGACGGGCAAATCGATTTTCAAAAACAAACTTTCCGTAAAATTCATGGAACGACTCCATTAATTCCCTAGTTAGTTTTTTGTACTTCCAGTTTAAATAATTTTTAATATTTATTTTATTTCAATTTTCATTATTTGGGTGTTCTAGTATGTATAAGAAATATATTTAAAAACGTTAACATAGTTTATACTTAAGCAAGATTTGAACGCGAGTCAAAAGGTTGCATGTTCACGACCTTAACCACTTACCTACAACTCTCACGTGGTGTCTTTGGTATAACTAGGGGCCACCTGTTTTTCGCGAAAATACTTATGTGAAGGCTATATACTCCAATGTCCTATGGCATACGTGCAGATCTCCTTTGGTTATTGGCCACGTGTTTTTTTTTTCGGGATCTGGTTCTTGACCCGACTGGGCCAATCAGAATTAGGTAACTCCGGCGCTGAGTGCTCGTGATTCGCGGACAGACACCTACAACACGTGACATTTAAAATCATCCAATTACGAAAGCGGATCTGAGCTATAGTATTTTGGAATACATGTAGTCCTGAAATCTTTTCGCGAAAAATAGGTGGCCCTAGGTATAACATTTGAATTTCGATATTAGTCACATAAGCTAAATTTTAGTTTCTATTGAAGTTAGTGTATTTTAAGTGTGGTTGAGTGTCACAGACGCCTGTTGATACTTTTTAATTTTTGAAATAACAGGTCTCAGTGACATGGATAACCTTAACTACCGCAGAAACGATCATTTCCTGGTTACAGTGGCGAAGAAAGCTTCGTGTAGACTCGGCATTGTTCGTCCCCAAATCCCGAAGTTATAGCAAATTACGGAGATTTTCCGTATTTACGCACTTGACTCCGTTTTTCGTCATTACGGATTGCGTTTCCGTATATTAACTGTGCATTTTCGTAAAAATGTCCGTAAATACACGGGAAACTTTAACAGTGCAGTCTTCAAAAGTGCTCACTTCACCATGGATAGCCTATAGTGACGAGTTATAATTTTAGAGCTGTCATACTTCCGTGCGGTTTAGGAGACGCTGACGTAATGACGGCTGGCACAGAAATGACGGACGACTCAAAAGGCAGTCGTGAAGGCGCGGGCTGTAAAAGGACAAAGGACTGACCGGCGGCGGGGAGATAAAAATAAACCGCGGAGCAGCTGAAGCATGCGCTAACAGAGATTCCGAGAACACGCCTTCGCCCCCACAAGGATGTGGGAGGGGAGTGGTCGTTGAGTCGGCGCGACGGCATCTTTTGATTCCTTTGTGGATCAGCCTGATACCCCTTCGCCCCTCCTTCTTACGCCGCTCGTTGAAACCCCTCCCCAAAATCGCGCATGCGCACATCCTAAAGCGGGCTGCAAGGCTCCATCTCGACTAGTCGCCGAGCCGGTCCCCGAGTTTTCTTTCTTGCCACTCTGCAAAACAAGTTTTTATTGGGTGGTGACGCGACGGAAAAGCAACCAGCGCCGCGAATGAAATACTACAATAATAATAATGGTATATGCTGTTCACGGTAAAATGAGCACTTTCGAAAGCCCTGCTTAAAATCTACTTGTATGCACGTTGTGTGTTCTCCCACCTTATGTAAAATTAATATTGCCATGGGCCTTATCACTTAATTCATGCGTCGGTCAACTGAAACTATGAAGGCATTAGATAAATAAATATTATACAAATATGCTCATTTTCACACTTCGACGCATTAAAAAAACAGGAAGCGATATAAATAATTTAAGTTATCAGAAATTCTCACCTAACTGTTTTTAGTCAACGTTAAAATATGGAACTACTTTCCCCTCCATCGTTACCAACTTTACTGGGTGCAGGTCACTCAGTGCGCCCGTTAAAATATATGCAGGTAGAAGCGTTGACTTTTTTCTACGGTTGATTTCAAAAGTGCTCACTTTATCGCGAACAGCCTTTACTTGACGTTAAACCTTACATGCTGAACGCTAGCGCTGCATGACGACAGACTCCGGACGGCACAGGTTCATAGTAGTTAGCTGCGATCTTTTACCCCTTGCAACAGCATTTTTTGTCACCGCTCTTCGAAACAAGTTTTGATTAGTAAGAAGAGGAGGGAGCGAAAGTAGACGCTACGAATAAAATTCACCCGTCAAAAGAATTTGCCTTTTATATTTATATTCTTGGGGCTAAGGCTATGCCACAGCTACAGGTCTGGGCAATATTTATTTGACACGCATGCAGTTCCCTGCAATTAAACATGTGCAATTTACTACATGGTGAGAGCGTCAACCGACTGACTGGTGGCATGCGATCTCAGCAGTTTATAAATTCACCCCTACACGCCCTTGGTTCCTGTGATCTCTCCCATACCCACAATTCCACACATCCCCGTGATAACAGCGTGGCGAAGTGTGCAGCCTTGGATTTAACCACCCATAATCCTTTATCTGTTATTAACTTAAAAGTAAAGGGATAACCAAGACACGCATTTCTTATTTTTAATTATTTGTTTACTACCAACAGCGCCCAGGATATGGCGTGAAGAAGCAATCCTGCTGATGTGAAGATGCTATAAAAGATTGAATAATGATAATCGTGATGTAAGGTACAGGAAGGAGGCATCATTCCTGGCATTGACTGAGGAGGCAATTCAAAAGAGTCATCACATAACGCTTTTGAAAATGAACCAAGCTATGGGAGTTCGGCCGGTGAATACAGACACTTACGTTGCTGATGGCTTCTGATGATACCATAACCTAGGACAGTACTATTAAAAAAACTTTAAAGTGGTTGAAAGTGAAAAAGTTGTACTTTTCAATGTAAAATCACAATCTACACGACAACGCCAAAGGGAAATTACACAAAAATTTTTTGATCCTCGAATTCTTGTTCGCGAATATTTTAGTTATAAGTTGTCGATT